TAACTGTAATGTAAATATTAGGAAGATTTATCATCATCAAACTATTCTTGAATTGACCTGGAAGAATGCTTGTGAATAATTGTTATACAGATAAATTAAATTGATAAACTAAATGGTTCAAACAACAACTCCAGCCTGTAAAAAAGCTGAAAATAGGGAATCTTTACAATGTGGATCCCCGACGGTCTTCTACTCAGTAAGCAAAAGCGGCAGCCACCAGGCTAGTCGATCTGCTCAATTTAAATATTGAAACCTTATTTTATGAAGTTCTTAAGAATACCAATTGAAACACAATGTAAACAAATAAAAGTTAAGAGTCTCATCCGAATCAAATGATTCCAAACGATACGCATTCATAGAAATTAAGTTTAAATAGACAAAAGTAGAAAAATGGAACAATCTCACCAAATCAGTCCAACTGAATCCTTTGCAAGCAGCTATGTCACGCTTGGTGTAGTAGCTCCGATCATAGACCCGCCCTACGGGGATCAATCCTCTGGTCGAATGTAGTCGATTGCTCCATGACGCGAACACGAAGCGACCGCTCACAAAATCATACAACGCGTAAACAAACTGAAATCAAAAACTATCACACGCGACGCCACAAATTTCTGTACCGGGAGCACAAGCGAAGAAAAAAAAAAACAAACAACGCAGATAGCAACATCTCTTCTGATGCCTGCAAACATGATGCATCACGTTTTCTTTTTCAATTCCAAAACTTCTCGGAAAGCGAGAAAACCACCAATCACACACGTATAACCGTCCGGGAGGCAGAGTGCCAGCGCTAATCTGGCAAAATCAGCGAACGCACGCACAAAACAGAAATAAACTTATACACAACCGTATCCGAACAGGTTCGAAGCTGAACTGCATGCATTCAGCGAAGTGTTTTCGTAAGAAAATCCAGTGAAAATAGTGTTTCAAATTGGGTTGCCGAAAATAGTCTGTCATGCCGAAGCCGTCATTTCCCCTGTACAAATTTATTTTTCTTGAGAATATTAAAAAATATATTGCTGCTATTCTATTTTTACATGTGTGTAAGAACACTTCATCTAGCTCAGTAAAATCTCCAATAGCCGATTACCTCGGCATTTACTTTTGCTGATATCTCTGCACAATATCTGTTTGTTAGCTGATATCTCAGCAAAATGATATTTGTTAACTGAGTTTCAGCAATTGTTTTACTGAATCTCAGCAAATGCTTATGATTATTTCGTATCGAGTTGAATATTGTTTTAGTTTATGCCGAGACATTGTAAACTCAATAGTTTTTCAGTATTGATTGTAAGAGGCCATTATGCGTTAGCCCATATTTTGCAAAATTTGTGCGATGATGGTTTATGGCAAATAAATTTCGATTTCGGAGTTGCCGAGTAGGTGCATCGAAATGTAATTAAGATAAAAATTCTGCGTTGCGAAACGATATCGTTAACAAATGAAACCATTGCATATTCACGACGCTCTTTTATTTGCAAATTTTGTTCAAGCATAGGAAAGTTATCTGAAAGCTGTTGTTCGTTTTATAAACTCAACAATCCTTAATATCAAATCAAACAATTATAAAACCGGGCATCGTAATTCATCTATCAGATTATTTATTCAATTCCAGAACAGACAGTGTCCATGAAGCGAAAGAAAAAAGTTAATGCAAAAACACCAATATGGTACAATAAACAGATAATAAATCTTAGAAACAAAAAGCAGAAAGCTCATAAAGTGTACAAGAGAAACAAAAATGATGAAAATGTTACCTTTTATCTTACTATTTGTGACCAACTGTATTAAGAAATTGAAAATGCATATGAAGAGCACAATAGAAAGATTGAAACTAACATTAAGTCAAATCCAAAATCCTTTTCTAACTATGTTAAAGAAAAGCAAAAATCCAAGAGCTTTCCATCAAAAATGCAATTAGACAGTCGGTTGGGCAATACTCCTAGTCAGATTAGTAACTTATTTGCTGACTTCTTTCAGGACGTTTATACAATTCATGATGAGAATGAGCGAGATTATCAATATTTTTCGTATCTCCCCGAGCCAATGAAGAACATCGCAGTGGATAATTTAACTCTCAATGAAATTATACGTGGCCAAGGTTTCAAACCTTGGATGCTTCAAACGGTGCTGGACCGGATGGTTTACCACCTATTTTTTTAAAGTCACTTTCGAAGGAGCTAGCAAAGCCTTTGTTCTGGCTGTTATTTATCCTTGGAGTCGAGTGTACTTCCTCCGATTTGGAAGGAATTATTTTTAATTCCAATTTTTAAAAGTGGTAAAAAGTCTGATATAAAAAAATACCGTGGAGTTGCTATATTATCAAGCATTCCTAAATTATTCGAATGCATCATTAATGACAATGTATTCTTACAGATTAGGTCGGTAATTACTAGCAAACAGCACGGATCTGTTAAAGGACGATCCACAGCTACCAACTTGATACATTTTGTGTCATATTGTTTAAACTCACTGGATAAAGGCAATTATGTAGAAACGCTATACACTGATTTTAGTAAAGCATTTGACAGAGTTGATATACCACTCTTGCTTTTTAAGCTTTCCAAATTAGGCTTCAATCCTTGGCTACTGAAATGGATCGAGTCGTACTTATCAAGGCGGACGCAAAAGGTAAGATTTGAAGGAAATCTGTCCACCATAGTTAATGTAACATCTGGTGTGCCACAAGGTTCACATCTTGGTCCATTACTGTTTATTTTATTTGTCAACGATATAGAACACATTTTTAAATTTCACAAGAAAGCACGCTGTAAAAAAACAACACAATTACTCTTGGCCAGAAAACAATCCAAAGATCCTATCAAGTCAGAGACTTAGGTGCTATCCTCGACACCAAGTTAACTTTTGCTGATCACTACAATAACATTATCTACAAAGCAAGCAACATGCTTGGGTTCATTAAAAGATTTAGTTTGCACTTCAATGATCCCTACACAATCAAAACACTTTACGTAGCATATGTGAGGCCTCTTCTCGACTATTGTAGCATAGTTTGGGCTCCATATCATGATACACATGTAAACCGCATTGAATCAGTTCAAAAGCAGTTCTTGTTGTTTGCTCTAAGAAAGTTGGGTTGGACGAGTTTTCCACTTCCATCTTATGAATCGCGTTGTATGCTAATTAATTTAGATGAGCTCAAAAAGCGAAGAGAGTTCGCAATGATTGCTTTTATAAACGATGTGATTTCGCAAAGAGTTAACAGCCCAGAGATTTTGGAAAATATCAATTTTTATGCTCCCCCTCGCTCACTGCGGAATAGAATTTTTTTTAGCATCAACAATCAAAGAACAGACTATGTCAAAAACAGCACACTGAATAGAATGATGTCTTGCTATAATACACACTATGAATATATTGACATAACAATGAATAAAAGTACGCTTAAAAAAACTTTCTTCACGAGGTTAGCTAGGCATCAATAATAAAATATAAATGTTATGCAAGTACTTGAAGTAAAATTGTAACAATTAGCGTTTAAGTAAAATTGAAAAACGGTCTACACTGATTGACGACAAATAAATAAATAAATTTGTTTTTAATTTGGTATACAACTTTACCAGGGAAGTGTGCTCCAAGGGGCTCTAAATAAAATCCTTTGAACAACCGAGGGAACCTGAGAAAATTGCCACCCCAAATTATTCCAAGAACCATCTAAAAGTCATACTCTCCACCTCCACATAGTCTCACAGTCTCACATTTATAAAGCCACTGACTAGACTAAAAAGAAGTCCCGTGAATCTAGTTCTTGATGTACTGATGTGCTGTAGAAAAAACAATACGAATCTATTTTATTATCACCAACTCATCCGGCCTTTGAAATCAGAGTTGTGCCAGAGAAACTTTTTACAATAAATTTTCTAATCAGATTGAATGCTTTTTATATGGAACCTAAATTGAAACATCTAACAAAACCAGCAGTGCAGGAAGACACAAGCAATACCTTGACAAGATCATCAATCACATTGCAAACTTGGTTTCTCGCGCTCACCGTTTTGCTTCTAGGCTTCTGGGAATAAAAATATAAAATTCCTCGAGTGTGTGGTTCTCATTTCGCCTTTGACAACATGGAGACAGAAAAAAAAAATGATAAGTGACAATTTATCTTCCACACGGAGCGCGGCCCAGTCGTGATTCAGGAAAATTATTAACTCATAATTAATTCATAACTGACCAAAAGTAGCAACGCGAGGAATCCAAATCGCAGGGGGATAAAGAACTGCAACAAAAGGATTCTCTCTGCTCGATGCATTAAGTGCAACGAAGTCTCATTGGCAACTTTTGACCACTCAGAAGTTCTCTCAGGAGCCGGTGGAATGTCGATCGAATGGAAACAATAAAAGAATTTATAATGCACGTGATTTACGCTGATCGTGACTATAACGACGACAATGACGATGTCGATGATTCCATTCGGGTCGTCTCCCAAAACGAACGATGGCTGCGTTTTATCTCAGCCAACTAAAGGGAGAAGGGAGAAAATTAATAACTCACCACCAACCAACAACGGTGCTATTTAAATAATTTTGATTTTTAATTAATAATTTCAAGCATGAAGTTATGACGGTAAGTTGTTTCTCCGACCATGTAGGGAGAGTTTGCCCTATAGCGGGCATACCGTTGCGTCCGGGAGACACACAAAAGAGATGTTAGAGTCGGGTGATATTGGCTTGTTTATGGGCGCCAAAATTCGCTACTTTCCGTCCGCTGGGATCTTTCCTCGATCACTGACTGATCGGTCGCGGATAGGTATGCGACCAGATCGATTGTTTGTAATTTATGATACAGTTCCAGCTATTCCTGGAATGGAAGTGGCGACTGTGTGGTAATACGTTGAATGCTCGACAGGACTGAAATGGGTAACTGAAAACATCGCACGCATGAACTTTAACACACTTCCAGTGAGTACCCACAATTGTTTTACAATTAATGGCTTGAAATAGATTCGTCCATTGTGTTCCCGTATCATTGCTTCCCCAGCAGCAGTCACGCGTTGAACAAGAGCAACCGGTTTTCTGTGTTCCATTTTGTTGCATTTTCAATTGTATTTGTTTTATTGTTTATACGCTCATGTACAAGTGATATTTCATAGTGTTAACAAATTATATTTTATAACTGTGAATCATATTAGTTTTAAATTTAATTTATTCTAAGCTTGTTGTGGAAAATCTAGAAACATACATTGTATAACGTTACTAGCCCCATAACGTACAAAAGGCTAGTCGGTGTTTTTTTTTGTTCCCGTGCTAAAATGGTTTCTCTGGAATATAAACTGTGCCTTCCATTTTAGGTTTTGACCATGAGCAACAACAGCAATAACTTTAATCAATCCATGAAGACGGTTCCAGATTTGGTTGCTAATCTAGCCTCGGAAAATGCTAAGCTTCAATACGCTCGGTGCAATGTCAATGGGGGTGGCAACGGCAAGTTCTTCAGAAACTACCAGGTTAGTATAGCATTTTTATTCTGTGGCAGCAAATTGTATGACCAAACAAAATGTCGTTTAATGTAAAAAATACTATAATGCACAGTGGTATATCAAAGCTGATAAAAATTATTTTTGTGGTTTTTGCATCGCAAATCAATTGAAATAAATATGAAATGGGTTTGAATTGATATTTGTACGAAATGATTCACCCAAAGTGATTCTTAACTTATTATCAAATTCGGATTTTAGTTGAAGCACGTCGAAACAATCGTTTTTTTTCATAAAAAAATACATAAGCTCAGGTTTAAAATATGGATTATAAACATTTATTCAAGCCAGATTTTTATTTCAGTGTTTTTAAGTTAATCATAGTACTCAGTCGAATCTGAAGTGGTATCATCATCACTAGTATTATCTTTATTGAAATACATTTGCAATGCTTCGGGAGAAATAGACTGACTTTTTCATAGGTATTGGTAATGAGCTTGTAATGAATGGATCAGAATTCAAAAGTAGCCTATTAAGGATATCGCGGTTGCAAGCTTCTCTGGAAAATTTCCTTGAATAATTTGATCTGTATAGTCAAAAATGCATGTTCTTTGCTTCTGCGGCTTCTTCAGAAAGAAGTCCAATAGGTACGATGGCATGTTCTATAACAATGGCTCGATGAATGAATACTTTAGGCTAAATAGGAGTCATTTAATGCCAAGGGTATAGTTTTACATACAGCAAATTTATTTATTATCCAGGTTGGAAAAAACAAACGTTCACACTTAAGATTGACAGACAACAAGCAGACCCAATCTTGATACCCCATTAGGGTTGGAACCGAAACAAAAACAAATTCGCTTATAGAGTTGAGCTGTTTCCATGGCATACATTGCAAACTTCGCGGTGTCGATGTCAAATCTTCTTGTTACTACTTTCAGAATTATTTTAAATCGTTGAATAAGGCCAATATCGATTCCTGTTATTCTTGATGATGTTTCCGGATCGGAAAAAAAATCTCCTCACAGTATTACCATAGAGGTAACTCTAAGACCAGAAGGTCCCGAAGAAACGTCCTCATTTTTTTGGCTCAGCTCTGGACTCTCTTCGGTCCCAAACTTGTCGATGCACCCCTCGAAACATAGGAAAATCCACGAGCCCCTCATTTTTTCTGTCAAACTTTCATAGCGAATCAAAACAAACATAGTGTAGTACTAGAATGGGGTACGTTAATCGATGACCAATAGGCTAGTCAAGTAGTAAGCCAATTTAAAATCCTTATTTTCCACCGGTTGTTATTGCCGTCGTTCGTCGTGCCGAATTCCGGTTTCGGTATATCCACAATGAGACCCATCTTGGATTTGAATGCTTGTTGTATCCTTCGTTTTAACTCTGCTACGCTTGCTTTTTTCTGCTCTGGCTTGCCACTTCTTGAATTCCATTTTATACGAAATATGAAGAATTGATTAAAGAAACCAGATTATTGCATGCAATGTTGATAATCTGAATTTCAACGTATCTGGTTTGGGGTCCATATTCGTATATAGATCATTGAATTCCTTTGGGGTCTTTCCGCAATTATAGCATCTCATTGAAGACGCCGTGGCTGTGGTGGCGTGTCACAGCTAGCCGTCCACCATAGTAGGAAGCAGTGTGTGGGATATTTTCAAAATTTGAGAGTTTTCAATCGAAACCTCTGATTTCTTAAGATTTATCACCTGGTTCTCAATATCAGCAATCTTTTTCGTTGTTATCGCTGTTGTCTCACGTACAATGCGGATCCATATTGGGCGGCAGTATCTATAGCAGGCAAAAATGGGACAGGGTTTGGCCACACAAGTATCCCAAAACCATTTCGATTTGCAGACAATCGAATAGGAACCAGACAACTTTGGTAAATATTAGCATCGTATATGAATATTGTCTGATATATTTCATGGTGAAAAACTGTTGATATGTCATGGGTGGGAACAGACATCTAGAAGCTAAAGGAAAATTATATAAGTTTGCACTATGAGAAAATTCAGTAAAATATGCCTGTTTTCATGATGAATATTGCTCACTAAAAGATATATCTTATAAGATAATCATATATATTTTATTGGAGTTGCTTTTAACGATTTGTTGATATGTCGAGTGTAAACAGACATGTAGAAACTATTGGACTGTAATTTAACTTTGCAGTATAGGAAAACATGTTTATCTCATTGGAATAGCTTCCTTTGATTTTTGAAGTTTAAAGATTGTAAACAGATCCATCCCAATCGTAGTCCCAATCATTATATAGTCAACAGCCTTTTAAAAAATCTAACAGCAAACATTTGTTTTGGCATAGTTTTCTGGAATGAATATCGCTCCCAATAAAATACATCTTACATGATTGTTCTTTATAAATTATTGAAACAATTTTCAATGATATTATCGTACACTCATTAAAATGATTACTCGAACTAAATATTGCTAACAACATTCTTCGGAAAAGAATGTATCGAGATTGAAAAAAAAAAATGATTCTACGGCAATATTTACTTTGCTAAGAATTTAATAGTTAGCCTTCTACACGGCTAATTCAGATACCAGCACTAGTACTCGAACTTTATGAACCAGTTCCATGAAATCATATAATGTAGTCGTTGTTTTATTGCACACAGGAGCATTAAGAAAAAAATGAATACACGACACCACCGAAACGGAGCAAAAATTTGTCAGTGTTATTTTTCTTCACTTGCCCTCTAGCAAAACGAGCCTAACGTTGCACCACATTCCATGTCGGGAGAGCTGTTCTTACTTCATGCTAATTGAACGAACTCAATATTGAAATCAGCCATGGCCCAGTAGAATCGAGCACAGACACCGAAAGCATCACACCTCAACAGTTCTGGATCGAATCCCAAATCAGCTACAATAAAAAAAAAAAAGACAACTGTCACTGCCTGATGTTTATTTTACGATTTATTTATAGAAATCGATTAAATATATGTATCAAAAGAAAAAGTAATTTTCGTGTGATTTTCCCATAAACTTTACTTCGATTGATTTATGACACATATATTATTGTGGTGAAAAATATAGTTAGCGCTCAACTTCCAAGCGAAGCAGTCGATTTATTCTCGCTGGAAGGCATTCGCAAGCTATATTGTTTTCATTATTTTGAAGAGTTTTGTTTCGCGAGTTCTTGTCGCCGCGTAGTTCCGCCGCGATGAGTGTCCGACGCGAAAACACGTTTCGTATTCATTACGAAAACGTGCCGAAGAAGCCGTCCTTCGAGGAGCTTCATGATTTCGTTGCAATCGAGTTGGGTCTAGAATACGAGCAGGTGCTCCGACTCCAGCCAAGTAGGGCTCTTGGATGCGCTTTTGTGAAGGTTGTCGACCTGGAGCTGGCACAAAAAATCGTTGCCGAGCACGACAACATCCACGAAATCGAGGTCGACGGCAAAACGTACAAGCTTCGGATCACACTGGAGGATGGATCGGTAGAGGTGAAGCTAACGGACCTGTCCGAGCTCACCACGAACGAAAAAGTCGCTCGAGCTCTAAGCGCATACGGTGAGGTTCTCTCGGTGACCGAGCAAGTCTGGGACAGCAAATACCGCTTTGCTGGACGCCCGACCGGCGCTTGGATTGTGCGCATGATGTTGCAACGTAACATCGAAAGCTACGTCACTATCGACGGTCAGTCAACAAATGTGACCTACTCCGGACAGCTGCAAACATGCCGTCATTGCGGCGAATTCGTCCACAATGGCATCTCTTGTGTACAAAACAAGAAATTACTTGTGCAGAAGACGTATGCCAATGTAGCAAAAGAAACCCATCGGCCCGAGTCCCATCGGCCCGAACCCCATCGGCCCGAATCCCACCGCGCCAAAACCCAACGCCACGAAACCCACTGCAACGAAGGAGAAATCGCCTCTCGTTAAACCGTTCGGACCGAAGCCCGTTGAGACGAACCAACAACGTAAAAATCCACCATCCCAACAACCGACCGTGCAGCCTACGCTCGCTGCTCCGAAGTCACCTAAACAAAACCCAATTGCGTCAAAGCTGGCGAAAACAAATCAGTCCGAGCAAAATGCTACTCTCATGGCGCCGCCGGCTCTGATAAATTCTGTCAGCAGAATGGTCACACGACAAACTACCGATGGTAACGAATCCGATGGGTCATCTGCCTCTGGAAGCAGCAAGCGCCGTAGTGGTCGTCCTCCAGGCAAGAAGCAGCGACAACACTATGACGGTGATGCGAGCGAGGAGGTAGACTGCGAACTATAATGGCTCTCTGCAGTTACAATATCACCTCGATAAACATCAACACTATCACCAACTCGACAAAACTCAACGCACTACAAACCTTTCTACGCACGCTGGATATAGACATCGCACTCTTTCAAGAAGTAGAAAACGAGCAACTCACATTGCCCGGCTACACTGTTGTGTGCAATGTGGATCACTCACGAAGGGGGACGGCAATAGCGCTGAAGGAGCATCTGCGATTCTCAAACGTCGAAAAAAGCCTAGACGGACGGTTGATTGCATTACAACTGGAAAACACAACAATATGCAACGTGTACGCTCCATCTGGTACCGCACTCCGTGCAGAGAGGGAGCGTTTCTTCACCAATACTCTTGCTTACTACCTCCGCCATGGCACAGAACGCACACTAGTAGCGGGTGATTTCAACTGTGTCCTACGTCAACGTGACGCAACGGGAAACAATCACAGCCCCGCTCTTCTCGCATCCGTACAGTATCTGCAGCTTCTCGACGTTTGGGAACAACTCTGTCCAAACATCCCCGGCTACACGTACATCACACACAACTCGTCGTCTCGTCTAGACCGTATGTACGTCAGCCAGAGCCTTCGGAGTCAATTAAGAACAGCTGATGTGCATGTATGCTCTTTTTCTGACCATAAAGCCGTGACAGCACGAATTTGCCTCCCACAATCAGGGCGCGAGCCAGGTCGTGGGTTTTGGTCGCTCCGTCCCCATTTATTAACACCAGACAACATTCACGAATTTCAAGTGCGTT